CCAGCGTGGGGCGCGGGACGCCCGCCCCGGGTGCGGCCCCCCCCCCGGGCGCCCCGCCCCCCCCCCCCCCCCCGGGGGGGGGGGGGGGGGGGCACCCCCCCCCCCCCCCCCCCCCCCCCCGGAAAACAACCGCTTGAGCTCTCTTTCTAAGAAGGGAAGCAAACAAAGCTTGCAGGATACTCATGATCTTTCCAGGCTCAAAGCTGCCAAAGGCTGAGTTGGAGAAGACTCTAAAATCCCAGCCTGCAAATCCTACTCATACAGTGGGCAAACATCTTAAGGCTCTGGGAAGTGTCCTCACAGAGCGGTTCATGTGGGGTCTGGGCAGGTGGCCCAGAACTGCACCCACCTCACAAAGTCCCATTTCCCCATAACGATGAAAAGGGGCAGAGATCAAAGAAGCAGAGGTTCCCAGCCTCACTCTGAAACCTCTGAAGGCCTGAGTCTGAGGCCCAGGAGGGGAGCAGGTCCAGCCTAGCCCCACACCCAGTGATCCCTGTGAGAGTAACCCCAACCAGGGGCAGCTCCCAGGAGGGGGGGTCAGCACCTCTCTAGCACATTGTTCCACTTGGGAACGCTCTCTTTATTGGGCAGTTTTTCCTGACATCAAGCCTAAACTGGCCACCTTAAAACTCCCCCGTGTTCCTGGTTCTACCTTGGGGGCCTCATGAGGACAGAGCACAGTAGGACTCTCACCTCCACATGCCTGGAAGCTCGGCCTGTCTCAGTGCAGTCCAAGATCCCGTAGTTTAGGGGCTGCTGCACCCCCTTTGAGCTCATTGTGAGCTGTCAAGCCACCCAAACTCCCAGATCTTGTTCAGAACAACAGCTGCCTAACCAGTGACATATACATTACTTTGCTAAGACTCTCTTGGTTTTCTACAATGCAAACCAAGGTCTCTGGATCTAAAATGAAGTAAAGAAATGAAAAAACTGGAAAGACTGCTAGTATACCACAAAAGAACACCTAGAAGTCCAGGGCAGGCTTCCCCCAACCACCACACACCTGAGGTGGAAAGCAGCCCAATGTTTAGCTCCAGAAGAGCTGCCTGCTCCCTTCTCCAGGGAGGAAACTCCCACATAGCATCCAGGACCAAGAGCCAGGAAATGGGGGAAAATGACACTTAGAACAAAGAACCAGCCCTGAATAGCGGGAAGAGCCCTCGCTCCGGACTTCTGAGAGTGGTACTTCCAGCCCAGATCTGCCACTAAAATCCCTGTAGGGGCCCCCAGCCATCAGAGTTTCCCCACCATGATGGCCTTATAGCTACTGGTGGTGTGTCTGTAGGCACCCTCTCTCTGCCCCCCATTAGACTGTGAGCTCCTCAAGGCTAGTGCTCTCCCATCATCCCTCTAGTCACAAGGCTGAGCACAGGGACTGGCACTTACAAAGTCCTGCCTGCCCAGCAATGGTTGTGTTAGGGACCTCCTTGCCATTCTCCTCTGGTTTGGGACCAATGCCACTTCTTAATCCTGAGGTCCCGTTTCCATTTGGAGCTTATGATGCCTTACATGGGGCCTCCTTTCTGCTAGATGCCTTCCCTTTTCCCAGCAGTCTGGGCTTAAACAGGAATCTGGGAAAGCAGTTGTTGGTGTCTTTGGATTTGCTGAACACTGGACAGGCCCTGATGGCTCACTGCTTCAGGTCTTGTTTACCTAGTCTGTACCCCATACATCAGCCAAAGCTTGGATCCTTCCTGCTTGGAATGGGGAGAGTCTGGCACTTCAAGGCCCCCTTGACCCAACTCTTCTCCATTATTTCCCTCAGATTCCTGACCTTGCTTTTGTCCAGAATGGCTGTGCCCTCACAGCCGCAGGCAGACTGATAGTGCCGAGGAAGAGTTACCATGAATAGAGGAGGCAGCAGATGCATGACCTACTTGCTGGACCACAAGCGCATCAAATGAGATATCTGCAAAGTGCTTACTGCAGTGCCCGACCTGGCATGGCAGAGGGCAAGGCCACCTCCTGATAGGCACAGAGGAAAGCACACGGATGACATAAAAGTCCAACCACTGCCCTTTCCATGTCCGTGCATCGTGGTTGGACAGGGGCCTCTATTCTTTGGACAGCATGGGGGGGGGGCTACTGGGCCAGTGGGAAGCTGACTTATCTTTCTTTTCATTAACTACAACATCACCTAAAATATTGTAGCTGCCTTAGGCCCTGTGCTCAGATAAAGCAAAACACAAGAGCTAGACTTTGTGCCCACAGAAGGCTCTGGACACCCCCTCCCCAAATACACACACACAAACACACACACACACAAGCAACTCATGCATGCACACATAAGCATGTGAACACACATGCATATACCACACACCCATGCACAAGCACCCCCACACATATGTGCATGCACACACACACACACACACACACACATCCCTCCTAAGAGAATCAGGTCTCAAAAGGACCAATGGGACATACTCCCAAACAAACTCAGGGCTTTCCAATCCTCGCTCTTTGAGGGTTTCCCCAGGCTGAAAAGGATGGCAAGGAGAATGCAAAGTTCTCCTAATGATCGCCATCTTGGGGAGAGGCTCTGGCACTAGGGGCCATTCCACACAGGTCTGCTGAGCTCACACCTCTGCCCTCCCCATGCACTTTATGCCGATCTGAGTCACTGTTGTTTAAGGGTGAGAAGCTCCAACAGGTAAGCCCCAGGCTTACCTCTGCAGGGTCGATGCCTTGATGACGAGTTCTTCATCCAAGTCGGCCTCGTTGGCCATGAAGAGCAGCCTCTTTCCTGTGCCGTCCACACCAATGAAGTCCCGCTGCTCCACTGAGTCACAAGAAGCAGATCATCAGACACGTGCCCTGGCTACCAGCAAGGTGAGCCGCTTCCCTCCTCAGAGCCCAAACCCTAACAGCACAGCTGGAACCTTCATACACATTACGGGACACAATCACAGACCCCAGGAGAAGACGGGTGCAAAGCTAGCACCCACGTGGCTCAACGGCAAGGGTGCCCCTTGAGGGCAACGTGCCTGCCAAGCTGGCCCCACAGGGGGTCTGGGGCTCTTCTCCAGTTAGTCCTCAGAGGATGGCTATGCTTCCACTAGGCAGCCTGAGGAACTGGAGAGTGAGTGGTCAAGGAAAAGAGAAAGGGATTTCAGGCAAAGACTTGAGCAGTGTGGAGAAGGGCAGCATTATGTTCTGGGTGTGGGGGGGGGGCAGGGACCCAGCTGGACGGTCCTGCACACACTAGTAGAAGAACAGCAGGAAACAAGGCTGCCCGTCAGCTGGGGCCAGGGCATCAACTCTGCAGGCATCCCCCGGAGCCGGCCCACTCATCCCAACAAGAAAGGAAATGGGATTAACTGGTCAGGACTTGTTCTGAGTGACCCATGATTGGCTTCTACAGAAATATTGGCAGAAACAGTGACTCAATCAATAACAAACACGTATTAAGTGCCTACTATGTGCCAGCTGTTATTGCCGGTGTCGTTCAGTCAGTTCGGTTGTGTCCGACTCTTTGGGATTGTTTCCTGTTTCCCCTAAATTACTATTAACAACTATTATTATTATAATAACTAACATCCAAACAAGGCCAAATCCTGTACAAACATGTTTGCCTTTGGGTCTCACAACAACCCTTCTAGAGAAATACTATCAGGCTTATAATTACTCCTACTCTACCTGGGAAAAAACAGGCTCAGTTCAATGACTGTCCCAGGGTCACACAGCCTCCTAGCTGCTATCAGAGGCAGGATCTGAACCCTAACTCCAAGGGCAAGATCAGTCATTCCTAATCTGATTTGATTCAATTCCTCGAGTAGGCATTCAGTGTTCACTGTGTGCCAGCAGAGGCAGATACAAAGCCATCAAATGTAAACAGTCCTTGCCTTTGAGGCACTTACATTCTATCTCAGCTTCCCTGCCAGCTCCATCTAAGTGTAAGCTTTAGTGCTCTCCCTCTGCTTTAAGAATAGTGAGCATTATTGTTGGCGGAGTTGTGAACTGATCCAACCATTCTGGAGAGCAATCTGGAACTATGTCCAAAGGGCAACCAAACCGTGCATACTCTTTGACCCAGCTACTAGGCCTGTATCCCAAAGGGATCATAAAAATGGGAAAAGGATCCGCATGTACAGAAATATTTATAGCAACTCTTTTGTGGTGGCACAGAATTAGAAATTGAGGGGATGCCCATCTATTGGGGAATGGCTGAACAAGTTATGGTATATGAATGTAATAGAATACTGTTGTTCCATAGAAAATGATAAGCAGGCAGATTTCACAAAAACCTGGATGATTTATATGAACTGATACTGAGTGAAATGAGCAGAATCAGGAGAACATTGTACACAGTAACAGCAACACTCTGTGATGACCAACTTTGATAGACTTAGTTCTTCTCAACAATGCAATGATTCAAGACAATTTCAAAAGACTCATGATGGAAAATGCAAGAACTATGGAGTCTGAATGCAGATCGAAGCATACTATTTTCTCTCTTTTTTTTCTTCTTTTTCCCCTTTTGTTCTGGTTCTTCTTTCACAACATGACTAATGTGGAAATATGTTTAATATGATTGTACATGTATAGCCCATATCAGATTGTATGCTATCTTGGGGAGGGGGCAAAATTTAGAACTCAAAATCTTATAAAAATGAATGTTGAAAACTTAAAATAAATAAACAAATTTTTAAAAATAAAAATAATGTTGAAAACTATCTTTACATGTAATTGGAAAAAATAAAATACTATTTACAAAAAAAAAATTATGGGTCACTGTAAGGTTAGAAGAGCACTTACAAATACTGTCTCTTCTGATCCTCACAATAACCCTGGGAGGTAGGTGATTATTATCCCCATCTTACAGATGGGCACTCTCTCCACTGTGCCTCCCAGACCAGGAAGTCTCAGGCACCAAATATTTCAAGAAAGGAAGTGTGGTACACTGGGAAGCACACTGAGTTTGGAGTCAGCAGCCCTGGGTCCATACCATCTCTGACATTTACTAGCTTGATGACCCTGGGCAGGTGACTTAACCTCTCTGTGTCTCATTCAGGGAGGCTCCAGAGAGTTAACAGTGGGTCCAGAAGGGGTGGGGTGGGGTGAAGGGCCCTGGAGAGGATCCACATCCAGGAGGGGCCATTGCCCCCAGCTCTGAAATTAACCTAAGATTCTATATGCTCCATTTAGAGCAGCCCTGTACAAATGTTAGCTGTATCTTTAACGCACAAAACTGGGCCTGAGCATCTCCACCCGTCAAGTGTGGAGGATGGCCTGGGCCTCGGCAGAAGCCATGGCCCTACAAAGGGAGTGCACCAAATAGAAGCCAGGGTGTAAAAGGAGGCACAGGCAGACTATACACTCTTCATCATACGGGGGGCCATGAACACCGTGGGAGGTCTGGCAAAGCCTAAAACTACTGTGGTTTATGGTCTGCATTCATAATTAAAGGACCTGCTAGATTTCAGTTAGAGATTAGTGAAAATAAAGTTCCACCCAAGATGACGGACCCCATGAAATCTCTGGACCCACGGGCCCATTAGGAACTCCTGTTTGAGTCGAGAGCTAGAAATGACCTTGGGAATCATATAATCCAGTTCCCTCAGTTTACAGATGAGGGAACTGAGGCTCAGAGGGACCAAGGAACTTGCACATGGCCATTCAGCTGGTCAATGGCAGAAGCAAAACTGGAGTTCAGATCTCCCAGCTTATAGGCCAGTGCTCTCCATACCCCAAGCCCACCTACAAAGAGCTCCATCATATTGACACTGGACTGTATAACCAAGTCCCCAGTGGTATGACTCTGATTCAAACACGCAAAGAAAAACTTAGGATGTTATTTTTGGATAAATCCTGGAATATTCTGGCCCTGCCCAACTCCTTGGGGCTCACAAAACCACATAACGAAAGGAAGGGCCTGGAACCAACAGTTTCTGTAAAGATAATTTTTCAGCTAAGTTGTATTTTTAACCCCTTCCCCACTCCCCTTGGTCTTCAATTATATTTGCTCCCTTGTAGCTGACAGAATAACCATGATCTCAGTGAAGTTGAAATCCCAGCCTCCTGCACAGCTTGGATCTGGCAAAATCCAACTTTGCTTTGGAAGTAAATGAGCTCCCTTCAAAGCCTGCCTCTGGAGAAGCACTCCAGCGCAATCTGGTCTCCCCTGGGAAGCTGAAGATGGGAGGCAAGCCGAAGATGGGAGGCAAGCCCCCTCCATGGTACCAGTTCCTCTTGTGCCAATCAGTGTTGGGTGCCCAAAACTCCATCTTCAGGTCACTACACTTCCTCCCTCAGATGAGCATCCATTCCAACAGCATGGACCCTGATCCCTGTGCAAGGCATGACTCCAGCTGTCTGCATGACAAAGACTAAACCCACCTTCTCCCCAAGCAACAGCATCCTTGTGCTGGTGCCAGCTCTAAACTTTGTCCCTTGTCCCTTGTCTCTTCAATTCTGTCAGATGCTTCTTCCTTTGCTGAAATCCTTCCCTCCTTTCTCTTCCCACCATTACAATTCTTCTGCAGGCCCTGATCCACAGGTGGTTACAAGAATCAGAGAATCTCAGAGGGTTGGAAGGGACCTCTGAGGTCCAGCTCAACACATACTCAAAACAGGAATCCTCCCCATAACATCCAAAGTGTAATCTAGCCTCCACTAGAAGACCAGCAGTGATGGGGAATTCAAAAGGGTATAGGGTGTGTTCAGAAGGATTAGCACCTCTGGCGTGAGGGTGTGCTGAGCCCTTTTTAGGGCTGCTCCACGAAGCTGCAGCACAGGTAGTGGCCACACCCCAGTAAAACCATCTCAGCAGATAGGTTAAACCAGACTGGGGATAGCCAACGGGCCTCTCACCTGTCAGTGAGTTAGGGGGCTATCTACTCCAAACACATGGAGACTTTCCCCAGCGAAATGAGTGGATGAGAACAATTTGTTCCAATAGCCATGAAGGTGGCTGAAGCAGACACTGTGGAGTGCTTAGAGCTTGGTCAGTCACCAGTGACAGGACAGTGGTCCTCTTCAAAAGGACAAACAACTTATCAAAACACCCCATTCTACTTTTAAACTGCTCATATCGGCACTCCCCTGTAGCTCCTACCCATGACTCCAGGCCCTATTTTCTGGGGTCCAAGAGAACAACTCTAATTGCCATATGGCAGCTTTTTAGCTGCTTGAAGGCAATCTCCCAAATTCTCCTCTTCTCCAGTTCCTTCAACTAGTCACCCCAGGGCAAGGGCTCCTGTTCTCTCACCATGCCGGGTAGCCTCTGGTGCCTGAATTCAATCTACTTTGTCAGTGTCGAGGTGCACTGCACTGAAGGCAGTGCCCTGGGAGCAGTCAAAGCAGGGCCCGGCCCCGCAGAGCCAGGCTAGCCCTCTCTCACTCTAGATGCCCTACCACGCCAGACGGCTGACCCTCCTTAGTAGCAGTCTGCTAAAGTCCTCCAGTCTTTCCCACCTGAACTGTCACTTAGCCAAGCCTTCCCCCTCCTCGGCTTGTGCAGCTGGTGTCTTAAACCCAGGCACAGGACGATGCATCTGAGGCACAGTGAGAAAAAAGCGCTGGATTCAGAGGCCAGGGCCCAGCTTCACATTCTGGCTCGGTTACTCACTCCTGGTGTGCCTTTTGGCAAGGCACCTCCCTTCTCTGGGTCTCAGTTTCCTAAACTTTACTAAGAAAGGGATGTACGAGACGTCCAGACTCCATCCAAGACAGGGGACGGGTAAATCCCCTCCACCTCCTCCAACAAAAACCCAAACATCGCACCAGGCTGGGTAATGCGGGAGAAATCACACAAGGTGACTTCTTCCACGCCACAACTTCACAAAAAGTCAGCCCGTAGGTGAGGGGAAGGGATGCTGCCCGCAGCAGCCTGCAGCCTGGTCAAAGAGCAGTGCCGCCCGGAGGGCTCTGTGTTCAGAGACAGCAAGAAGGGAAGCTCCCCCAGAAGCCACCACGAGGCCTCCCTACTGGGCCGACAGCAAAGGCAAGGCTGCAGGAGGCTCCAAAGGCTGAAGAGCTCTGATCAATGTAGCGACCGAGAGCACCTCAGAGGCCCTGGGAGAGGCAAGTTACCCGTCCCCTGACAGAGGGGACAGTCTTAAGGGGCAGAATGAGACACCCATTCGTGGCCGCAGTCAAAGTGGGAATCCATCCTGCTTGACTACGTTGCTTTCCTTTTTTTCTTTTCAATTGGGGGGTGGGTGGGGCTTGTTAATTGAAAAGTTAAATTTTAAAAAGAAGATGGCAGAGGGAAAGGAGTGAGAGGTGGAGAAGGGATGGGGGGAGGGAGGGAAAAGGCCTCAGTGAAGAGCCAGACTGGTACCACAAGCCAATACCCAACGTCTACAGAGAGGCTGTGTCTCATTCATAGTGCCTCATTCACTCCTCACATCGATCTCTGTCTAGCTGCAGGGAAAGGGAAGAAAGAGGATGACGCCATTGCAAATCCTGGAGGAATGGAGGCGCTGGGAGGACAGCAGGCCCCCCTTCTCAATGGCCTCCCATTGCTCTGCTGCAATCTAAACGGCTGTCTCAGCTGGGCAATCTGTCCCAGAAGGCCCCCCGGGCTCATGAGGGGAAGGGCCCAAGGAGGCTGGCCTGCTCTGGGCAGATGGCTCCCAGAGAGGCTGACAGGCCACCCCTGAGGGGTCCATGTGTCTTTTCTCACTTATCCGTCCTACTAGGCAGGAAACAAAGGCCATGGCAACCACAGGGAAGAGGTAGGATTCGCTCTTTGGAAGCCTGGAGGGCAAAACAGGAAACACCCTTCATTGCCAGTAGTGGGAAGGACTCCATTCAGGGACACTTGCAAGTCCAGTATATGGTAGATATTGGGGTTCTTGTCTGGGTGACAAGGACCCAGTCTTGATGCCTCCTGGCTCTTTTCCAAATCCGAGAGCCTGGGACTTAGGGAAGGGCATGGACACGACTGCTGAAGATAAAAAGGTACCGATGGGTTGCAGGAGGTCAACGCTTTATGAGAATATCTTGGTTGGACTTTGAGAACGAGAGGCTGGCACGATGCCACCTTGAACCCCGGCACTCTCCTCCTGTGAGACAGACGGAAAAACACCTCAGGTGTTTCTTACCTGTTTTGTTCTTCCCTTTCTGTCCTGGGACCGGTTCCGCAGACTCTTGGCCTTTTTTCATCAACATCGAAAGGGAAGCATCGTGTGCACGGAACAGATCCACAACCTCGTGGAGCGCAACGTCCGTTATCAGATCGCAGCTCAGCACCAACACATCTGTCTGGCAGGCAGGAAAAAAGGGGCATCAGAACCACAAAGTTACAAACTCTGGCTGTCTCTGTCTATCACTCACTCTCTCTCTCTCTCACACACACACACACACACACACTCTCACTCTCACACACTCTTTCACTCTCTCTCTCTCTCACACACACACACACACACACACACACACACTCTCTCTCTCTCTCTCTCTCACTCATGGGGGCTCAGGAACAATGACAAAAAGGACAATCAGTATCTTCACCAAGTAATTGTGACTATAGTCAAACATGGACTAACTGGGGAAAGGTGAATTTAAATCAGTCAGTTGGGAGAGAGAAGAAAGGAATAAGGGAAGAGAAAGGGGGGGAGGTGTTGAGAGGGAAAGGGGGAGAGAGAGAGAGATTAACTGGTCTCTCCTGGTGATTCACCTGGGTACAGATGGCACTTCAAGGACGAACCAAAAAGTTACAAAGTTTTAGGCAAAGAACCAAAGGTGCCAGATGCCCAGGTACTGCCCACTGCCATTGCCCAACGTATTGTCCTGGGCTGAAGTGAGGGAGTGTTAGCCTTTGGGAGGAGGGAGATGATAGGCGTGCCAGCCCTTAAGCTGGCAGGGGCCTCTGAAGCCATAAGCCCAAGCCCCTCAGCTGAGGGGGACCTGAACTCCTCTTTTCCTTCCTAATGTACTACTCTACCAGAAATTAGGACTGCTTGGCTAAGCCCCAGACGGCAGAATCGAGAACAACGAAGACAGGCTGGCTGTCAGGAAACACTTCTATCCACTGAGAGCTGCCCCAGAGGGGAAGTTGTTTGGGGTGGGGATAGGGGGAGTGAATGCTCCCTCTTTGGAGGTCTGCAAGCAGAAGCTGGGTGCCCACTTTCAAGCATGCGCTATAGCTGTTGCAGTCCCTTCCAATCCTAAAATTCTAGGATTCCAGGACCCAGAGCCACCTCCAGCAGCTGGCAGGTGCCACACACAGAGCCCCAGGCCAACAGATGCCGGAGGTGCTCCCGAATGCTTTCCTGCACCCCCACAGCTCTGGGCCAGGCGACATGCCCATTCTTTTCTTGTATCTGCAGGCAAATTTTTAGTAGAGTGAATACAGAGCCTGAAGGGCCACAAGGGCAGGGAACCCCTGCTTGTCTGCCTGCCATCTGTTTTCTTTCACTCTCCCAATATGTAAATAACAGCCCTGGCAAAGTAACCTCCCTGCACACAGGGCTCTCCCTGTCAGCCCTGGCTCTGCACAGAATCTGCATCCCCCAGCCCAGCCCAGGAGCAAGCAGATGCTTAGCTAGCCCATGTTGGGAAGCTCTGGCACAAACTAAGCTTTCTTTCTTCCTCTCCTTCCTTGTCCAAGTTGGACAGTCAATGACACACTAAGAGAACCCAGGGCCTCTTTACTTCTGGCTTTCCTGTGGCTGCCACAGAAACAACACCGGCCACTTGAGCTTAACTTTTCCTTCCACAAATGTCCTTGGCTAGGTCATGTAAATCCAGCAGATACCTTCCACAGCAAGCAGGTCCAGGGCGCACATAACGGGAGGCAGCCCTTGGGATGCAAAGTGTCTTTGTGAGCTTGGGGAAAAACCCACAATCTCTGGGATAAAGACTCTAATAATCCCACAAAGCCACTGAACCTAACTTGGCATGTGCTGGGAAGTGAGACACTTGCAACCCCACAAAACCATCCAACACACTGACAGTGAACATTGTGCAAATCCTGAGGCAGCTTTTTGTTTGGGGGATAAAAGAGAAATACATGGGAGAGGAGCCCTGTGAGGCCTGAGGACAGTCCCGGGGCCTCATCAACAAAGCAGCTGCCCAGAGACAGCAGGCCACCTGCCCCACGCACAGCAGGCGAAAGGGTGGGAGGCCTGCCTGGCTGAGGTGGGCATGTGCAGGAGAAACCACTTGGGTGGCAAAGAACCCTGGAAAAGAGGGGAGGCAGAGCCAGGCCAAGCCCACCCGCCAGGCCAACAACCCCTCCCCCCTCCGGGGCAGAAGAGCCTCCTCTACAAGACCAGCAAATGTCAATCCAGTCAAAGGTCAAACAAGGAACAGAAAAGGCCAAAGGAGGAATCCTTTCCCCAAAAACAATCACGATAATTTTAGAAATAACCCAATCGAGCCAATCCCAATGGAACAAATCGGGTGTTCCCTCTTTACTGGGAAGTCTTCTCCAGCCACATCTGTCACGTCTTTCCTAATTCTACTCTAGCTGCAAGCGCTGATACATCCCAACCAGTTATCTATTTGCAACTTCATTTGGGGGGAATATACTTTGTGCTTTGACTGAATGAGATACCAAATGTCTTTAAAACAAAATTTATCAATAAAAACAGAAAATATCTTCTTGGTAACGGAAAGTAGCTGGTCTGACCTCGGGGAGGTCCCTCTAAACAACCGTTGTGGGCAGGGGAAGAGACAAATACCCATGGATTCATTCCCTGGAGGCAAAACACCCCCTCCCAGAAAGGAAGAGAGTAGGGCTGGAGACACAGAAGAAAATAAAATGTTCACGCTAGGACTCAGTTACCTTTAACAAACTGTGCGTAGTAGTTAGTAGGTTTTATGTGTCATTTGTTTGACTGGTGGTTCTCATTAATACTTATTAAATTACACATTTTGAAAAGAAAAACAAAAAATCCACTCTGCCAGAAAAGTTGGGAAATTGTGACAAAGAGAGAATTTCCACGTGCAGCCAGCCAGCAGCTCAGGGCAGGGAGCCCAAGGGTGGCGGGAGAGCACCCTGAGAGCAGGCACACAGGCTCTGGACAGCATCCCATCTGCTCTGCTCCATGGGACGACAGGACTCAGCACACAAGGAGCACACACTCCCTGCCTGCTGAAAACAATGCTCTCCTCACCAGAAAACTTCTCGAGGCTCTCAGAGGTGGGGCAACTTGTCTATGGGGACACAGCAAGGCTCCTGGGAGTAGGAAATAGCCTACGTGACCATGAGCAGCTCCCTTCCGGCCTCTGCACGCAGGCCTCCTCATTGCAGCCCCTCCAAGGCCTTGGGGGCATGGGGGAGGTGTAAAGCAGGCCCCCCACACTCCTGCCACCCTGTCCACTGTCCCGCCCCACCCCACCCCTCAGACCAGGCTACAACATGTCTGCAGCTTTATAGAATACAACTATTCTCTGAACTTCAAAACACTCAAATAAGTGGGCCTCTAATAACTCAGACATTAGGGTGATTATCCCCATTTTCCTAATTGTAAGACTGAGGCCTAGGGAAGGACTAAGTGTGATTTGCCCAAGGCCAAAGAGAGAATCCTGTCTAGCACTCCAAGCCCTGGCTCCAGCCTACCTTGCCAGCCTACTCCACAGCACCCCCTCCCACAGACAGTGGGCCAAGTAAGCCTTTAAGCTGTTCCATACATGGGACATTCCATCTCCCATCTCTGTACCCAAGCTGCTCCCCAGGTGTAAATGCCCTCCCTCCCCCCTCAACTCTGCCTTGGATAATCCCTCATTTGCTTCAAAGCTCAGCTCCTCCTCACCCCCACCCCAACTCCCACCCCCTTGGCATTTCTGTGGCATGTACGGGGTTTCTATTTCTATACGGTGTTATCTCTCCCATCACAACAGAGGCTCCTTAAGCATGAGGCCTATTCCAATTCTGTCCTTGCACCCACAGTGCCTGGCCCACAGTGGGCACTTAATAGGTATTTATTAAATTTTTTCTATCTTTTCTTATACTTCAACAGCTTCAAAAGTATGGATTTTGAGAGCTGAAAGAGATGACTGCAATCTAGTTCAGTCCAGAACCAGGGAGCCTCACTCTCCTAATCCTGTACCTCTTAATGCAGCTTCAGATAATGTAGCACTGTTGACTGTGGAGCTTGGGGTCCACTCAAACCCCCAGATCTTTGTCACACAAACCGCTGTCTAGCCACGCCTCTCCCATCTTGTACTTGTGAAGTTTATTTTTTTAACTTTGCATTTGCGTCCTCCTGGCTTCCTTCAAGTCCCAAGAAAAGAACTCAGTAAATCCAGGAACAAAACTAATAAAACATTAATAACCAACTGATAAAATAAGTTCCAAATTTAAAGAGTTTCCAGAAACAGGGCTTCTAAAAACCAAGGCTCCAAATAAATCATAAACGGATCATCAAATTGAAGAGAAGAGACAGGCGTGGCAGCAGGAAGTCCCAGAGCCTGGCTAGGTTCTGGTGGCAGCTCTGTGATCACCTTCAAGACCTTCAGAACATTCTGGCACACTCGGAGGCTCAGCTTCCGCCTTGGCAAAATAAGGAGGTTGGACTCACAAATTTCAAAGGGTCCTGATGGCTCAAACTTTCTAGGTCTTAAAGTTCTCCCCAGCTGGAGTGTCCTCTGAACACCTATCAATGTGACCTTGGGCGGGATATTTCAGCTGTTTGTATCTCAGTTGCCTGGTCTATAAAATAAAGGGACTGAGGTCAGCTAGGTGGCGCAGTGGATAGAGCACCAGCCTCGAAGTCAGGAGGACCTGAGTTCAAATCCGGCCTCAGACCACTCACTTAACACTTACTAGCTGTGTGACCCTGGGCAAGTCACTTAACCCCAATTGCCTAAAAAAAAAAAAAAAAAAAAAATTTAAAAATAAAAATAAAATAAAATAAAATAAAGGGACTGATTGCTAGGCACTACCTAAGGAGATTAACAAAAAGAAAAGTCCCATGTATACCAAAATATTCACAACACCATTTGTTGTGTGGGATCAAAGAACTGGAAACAAAGCGAGTACCCATCAACTGGGGAAGAATAAACAAAAGTGTGGACTATTATTGCACAGTAAGAAACAACAAATGAGGCCAGGAAGTGATGCAGTGAATAGTCTTCTACCTGGAGCCAGGAAGACCTGAATTCAAATCTGGCCTCAGACACTTATGTGCTATGTGTCCCTGGACAAGTCATCTAACCTTTGTTTGCCTCAATTTCCTCATTTGTAAAAGGGGGACAATAATAGCACCTACTACCCGGGGTTGTTGTGAGGATCAGATAGTATTTGCAAAGCACTTTGC